TCCTTAATTCTTAAATAAGAAAGGCAAACGATGTCACGCAAAATAAGGCTTAATTTGACTGAAGTAATGGATATTAAGGTAGGGGGGGGGGGGAGGCTGTTTTGTAAAATGTAGGTTGAAATACTTGAAGCTTCGTCTCTCGTGCGCCAACAACTGTTGAATAAAGACTGTCTATGAGATTTATTTGTCCAATATTTCTGAATTATTTTATATACATCGTGTTTTTCAGTTATGACATACTTTTATTCGAAAATATTGAGATACAATACAAATCCAATGTTCATGAAACGTACCTACTTACCTATATAAAAGATACGAAACTGTGTTCTGTTATTTTTATTGATACAACAAAAGGTCTAGTATTCCAGATATAGCTGTTTAGTCGTTCTCAATGAATCCATACAATGTCGATTCGAATTCTCCTTCCATAGATATTCAAGAGATATTTTCAAAGCCAATCTCCTGGTCATTGATATGCAAACACGATCTATTCAGAACACCATCGGCCGTTCTGACCTGGCTTAAGTTATCACGGAGAGATACTCACTGGATAAACTGATATTAGATACAATTTGTGAAGAAAACCTTTTTATTTGGTCCTAACTAACAAATTGTTATCTATCCTGTGATATGAATAAAGTACAAAATATATTATTTTTAATTTAACTTTCGCTTTTAAGAGTAGGTGTATAGTCCGTTGAATTAAGCGGAGCTTTGCATTTGTGTGAGTGAAAGTAAAAGTAGAGTTAGACAAAAAACTTTTACAATTAAATTTTATTATATTTTAAATAGAAACATAAGTGTGAGAGCTATTCTAGATTTAAAATAAAATAAGCAAAACTTGTAAAAGCACAGATGGAAAGATTATGAATATTATGGAAAAAAATATTAATTAATAAAAATGTTGAAAAAACTATACAAATTCTTCACTTGACATTGCGTTTTCAACATTAGACGCTGCTATCAGTACAAAGGGTGAAGTGAGGAAGGTGCGGGGCGGAGTAAAAGCAGTATAAACTGGTTCAAAACTAGAAAAGGCTTTCAAAAATTTGACATCACATCTACACTATCCGTGTGCACTCACACAAATGCAAAGCTCAGCTTAAATCAAACGCACTATACATATGTTTAGTCCGTGTGACACTCACAATATAATGCAGATATCATTGTTAGTTAATTTCTATGTATTCATCAGTACAATTAGCGTCGAGACAATACTTAATAATGAGATTGTTCCATAGCGAGAGGATCGATTAATAATACATTGGTCATTGTACTCAAATTATTTCTATATCAATAAATACGTTAAAACAGAAAATAAATAATATTTCCGAGTGTTATCTTTATATATATAATTCTTCTGTGAGTGTGTATGTCACTGAACTTCTCTCAAACGACTGGACCGATTCTGATGAAAGTTTTTGTGTGTGTTCAAGGAGATCTGGGAATGATTTAGATTCACAATTTTGTCCGCTGGACAATGTTTTTTAATTATTTTTTAATTTATTAGCAGTTGTTGATACAAACGTTTTTTTTTTTGACATTAGATTTGACAACTAAATAATATGTCAATCATTCTGTCGCACTTCAAATCACGGAGATTTATGGCTTTAATAGGTAGACTCCAAAAATATAAATAAAAAAAGTAACAGATATTTCTTGATTATAGGGCGATACGAAGTTCGCCGGATCTTCTAGTATACTTATACATTTGTAAACTTTCTTTTTGTATCTACTGAGAATATTTGATGTCAGTTTTATTAATAAGAAGTATTTTTCAATTATTTTTTTCATGCATATTATGTGTCATCTATTCCACGAACAGGTAATCCTGTAAGTCAATATCTAATATATAAAATTCTCGTGTCACAGTTTTCGTGCCCATACTCCTCCGAAACAACCTGACCGATTTTGATAAAATTTTTTGTGCTTATTCGGTAGCTATGAGAATCGGCCAACATCTATTTTTCATCCCCCTAAATGTTAGGGGTAGTCCACCCCTAAATTTTTTTTTTTTATTTTTTAGACAAAATTTTTAATTACTATTTTTTTATGATACAACGTACAAAAATACATAAAATCCTAAATTTTCACCCTTCTACGATCAACCCTTATTTTTTAATAGCTATTTTAGTAATTTAATCATTTTTCATCTCCGGTCGATAACTGATCAATCGTCATTTAATAAGTTATCCCCGCCAGATATCTACAGGTGTCACTTCTGACCCAGTAAACAGCACGGAGTAGGGATGAGAACGAAGCCGGTCTTCTGTTTCTCTCACACAATTAGACTTCTCTCACTCCCTACACAGTTGTCGGCCATCGTTATTGTTTGTGCATCAAGTGTAGTAGTAACGTTGACAATTATTATTTTGCTAGCTCAGTGTAACTCTCATATTAACTATTAATCATTCCTAATCACTTCAAAACACGGAGATTTATGGCTTTAATAGGTAAACTCCAAAAATATAAATAAAAAAACGTAACAGATATTTCTTGATTATAGGGCGAAACGAAGTTCGCCGGGTCTTCTAGTAATAAATAAAACTCTGTTGTATATCTTCTCACATAAATTTATTTCTTCATATACATTATGTATAATTTGCGTATCCATCATATCCCGAGACACAGCGCGGGTTATATTTCATTCATAAAATAATCGTCTACAAACTCCTACTAAATACATCCACACACATTCCCGCCGTATTGCGTCCGCCATTTTAATTGCATTAAAATATAAGCTATGGCAACACCACGGCACTTAGCAATTCAAAATATACAAAACGCAAGGCGGCTACTGGATTAACGATAGCTGCGACATTGGATACGTAAAAAAATAATTACGTAAATTATTTTACGTCAACAGATCGCGGGTAACCGAAATTATTATGATGGAAAAATAAATACTAACATTATATATTCATCTTTCGTGGCGTTACAAAAATATATAGCTCTTTACATATGGGACATTGACAATTTGGCAAAAAAATAAATATCTTATATTTTGTATAGAGTCAAAATTATTTCGGTTATCCGCGTCTTATTAGCTCGAACAAATGTTCCAAATAAATGACAATAATATAATATATATAAAAAAGCTGCACAGGTCGAAGGCGATAAAAAAAATTAATTAATTACGAACACATTGAAAAAATATTAAATCAGTCTTTTACATACAAAATAACAGACAATGATCATAAACAATATTAGATTGGGCTCACACGATATTTGTACTACACAATGGAATTATACAGCACCTTATATGGCAAATATTAATACAGAACCAATTGATGAAGACACATATATAAACTAAGTATATAAAATACACTGCCGATATCAAAGAAAATACATTTACAAATAAACGAAACAAGCGAATAGTTTCATTAAAACGGTATGTGCGTTAGATCTAATACAATACTAGAAACGATTCATTAAAAAAAAACCGTAAAGAATTTCAACATAAAAAATCGGATAAGACGGACCGCACCGTTACAGACATCACTAACGTGTAAGCAGAAAACCCGCCTAAATATGCGATACATTAACGAGTATTAAATTTTTACTATTCGATTTAACAATATCATTTATAACTACGTATTATTTTTATTTTTCTCGTTACATTAAGTCCACTAGCTAATAATGATTGGCAGTTGATGTTCACACGAACATGTCTCGGAATGTATCGCCGGTATATTTTATAACCACACGTCTATATATCGGTTATAATATTATCTAAGTTAAAAAGCTCAACTTTAACTTACACGTAGATACATGTTATAGTACAGTTTTGTATAAAAACATTCAAAAAACCTAACACGATATGTTACGCAAGGGGTACTGTAAAATATTAAACTCACTACACTTAGAGATAGCTTAATGTATGAAAAGGGATCATGGAGTATGAACACAAGCAACGAATGACAACCTAAAGAACGTACGCGGTGAACAAGCTTCGAAGATATCTAAATATTAGGAATCATTTATTTGTCTACTTCCGAAATTGAAGTTCAACTGAGTCATTTCCTTATTGCATTATAACACACAGACAAAACAATTTTCGTCTACCTAATATAGATATGTTAGCTGCCACTGGCTCGACAACGGCAGTGATATTAAAAATATTCTTAAATCTATAAAAATAAAAAGTATAAGGGAAATTCACATATGGCTCGAGGTTTTGAAGAATTGAACACAAAAATACAATAGGAAACACGATAACCGAGGCAAGAGAAACGAGACATTCTTTATTTACATAAAACTCTACTCACATTACGTTTTATAACACGACACACTACACGTCCGCGTCTGTAATATTGCAATAATGAAACCACACTATACACTAATCTAATAACACCATATTAAAAAATAAATATATTATTACAGCTGCGATAACTATTTATACAATATAAGTGACAGTTAGATTTTGCCGCGTTACGTCATTTACATTCGACCATAGACAATGCGATTTTTTTTTCTCAGCGGAGCGAACATCTTAAATATTCAGCCAATCTCAATTTTTATTTTTATTTCGAGGGATTTTAATATAATTAATTTAACCCTCTACTCACCATCATGTTAAAAATGGTCTCATGTTGTAAACGTCATAAGTATTTTTCTAGGCACATACAAGTTTAGCCTCATAGATCGAAGGTAACCTTCTTTAGATAGTTGTAACCCTGTCGTTAAGAACAGTCAGTTACCGCTACTATTAAATTTAAACGTGTCGTTTGGAATGTATGGCACCACAACTACTAACATAAAGCACTACTTGATACACTATTATTTATTGTAAGTATTGTAAAAATTATAAAATAGCACTATGTTTATTACAGAAATGGATGCACCATAATCTATCATATATAATAACATTAAAACATATCCAAGAACATAATAATGGCCATCCATACATTACCATAGACACTATACAATGTTATTAAGGTGATCTACACACTACGGTTGCCGTGGTTGTAAGGCGGCGTGCACACGACAGACACTCATCGTCAGTTTGCGTAGTGATCGAAGGAGCCGAGGTACTCCAGGGCCGCGCGGTAACAGAAGTCGTATTGATCCTGGACAATAATACATTAATATAAATATTAAATATCCCTTATAATTCAATATTAAAAAAATATTAAACATACACAATAACACATTAATATATATATTGTTACTCACTAATACATTTTTTTTTCTAATATCTACTGTGATACATATGTATAAAAAACATTGTATAAAATTTCAGAATGTTTATAAATTTTTTTGTAGCGGAGTGCTATATTTAATTTCTGTCATAAATTTTAAAAATTTTGATTATTATGAAATCATCATTTTAAACTACAGATAGAAAAAAATATTTGATTGTATAACCAATAGTAACACAAAAATAATAATTTATTACTCGCAAAATAAATACCATCACTACGTCGGTTATACAAAAATAGGTATTTTCAATTTAAAACATAATGATTTTACGTAAAAAAATATTTATCCTATTGTTACGATTGTGCTCTTTTATTGTACAAATAAAGTTTATTAGATCGGATTTCACAAGCAACATTAACGGTGTAAGCCAATTCCATTAAAATTAATTACTTAGCCGATACGCAAAATTTACAGCTCACAAAACCCTAGGGAGCGACGCATCCGTTATAAGTGAATTTAAATTGTATTCAAACATTGTTCAACTAACGTATGTATTCTACAACAATTTCTTTTTGTGTGTTCAGTAGTGATGTTTTGAAACCGATTAAAATAATTGAAGCGAAAATCTCTCACCGCGAAACAAAAACGTGTGAATTTAATTCAGCGGAGTCGTGAGTCATCGCTTAGTGAGTAAAATTTAATTAAAGCGCGGTCATTTCATGGAAGCACTCAAAAAATATATACTATGAAAAAGCACCATAGAAAACATTTGAGAACTTATTCAAATAGAATGTCGAATGTACGTTAATTTAAATTAATGAAACGTAGAGTCTGTTGGCGTTTTGATATTTTAATATTATAATTAGTATTCAACAACCACAATGTTTGAATTGACGTCTGTTTGTTTTGGTTTAGGTTATTAACACACTTTTAAATATTAATATTCTTATTTTTGATTCTATCAACATTTCCGAAATGTTTGTGTAAGCGAGCGTGTAGCCTCAGTATACATAGGGTTGCCAGAATTAATATTTTATGAATATAATTATTACATATTTTGTGTCACAGAACATGTGTTTCGCATTTAAAATTCAAGTACATATGTTACAAAAAAGCATTTCATATCCTACAACTTGGAAGCTGACAACCCTGGTATTATTCTGTTCCGGTATACACAAACTTAGATACTGAGTGCGTGAGATGTGTGTGTGTTTGTCACTATTGACATTATGACGTCATACTTATAACATTCTTGTGTGTGTGTGTAACTTATGTTTTGTTGTATTCACTGGGTTTGAGCGTGTGTGCGTTCTTATTAATGGCTCGTGTATGTGTGTGCGTAACTTATGTTGTATTCAGTTTGTTCGAGCGTGTGTGTGTGTGTATGTGTGTGTTACCTCAGTCTGGACCATGGCTGGTCTCTGTGTCCTTAACGTGCGGACCGTCTGGAACACGTCGACTACACCCTCGTACTGCATCCTCTCCAACACCGTAGATAGAGTTATGAACACACCCGTACGACCCACGCCCGCACTAACACACGAACAAAAAACACATATATATTATAACACATCATAGTATACTGTATAGGTGGATGTTGGTCACTAAATAACAATAACTACAGTTTGAAAGAAAACTACTACAGATAGTATATAGTAAATAAAATATAGAGGATTACAAAAAAAAAAAAACAGTATTCTGTAATTTACTTTTAGTTGATGATTGGATCTATAACAAAAAATAGGTATGAACAAGATAACAGTAAAAAAAAAACAATTAACTCAGAAATTAATCATCTCTTTTCAATATCAACAAAATACAAAAAAAAAAATATTAAAATAGCCCTAAAAGTGTGCAAAATAAAAAAAACTTCTTAAATAGTCCCAAAAGTGTATCTAATCGTAATAAAGTACCTGCAATGCACAGTAATGGGTCCGTCTTGTCCAAACTGTTCCTTCGTCTTGTGAACCTGTCCGAGGAAGTCTATGAAGCCCTCTCCGCTCTTGGGCACGCCCTGCTCCGGCCAGTCAGTGAACTGGAATTGACGCACGGTGCGGGAAGAACCATCGCGAGCATCTGTGAACTAAACATACTATACATTAGAACCATGTCACACTAATAAAACCGGTTGAAACTAGTTATAACCGGATAAAGCTAGTTTAAACCAGTTAAAAGACTTTAATACCATAGTAATCACCAGTTCAGGTCTGAAAACTAGATAAGTGAACTTTGTACGAAGGTTCTAATGGATGAAATTTTAACTTCTTTTCTTATGAAAGGAAGTAAACGAAGTACATATATATGTATGTTCCATAACTATTTTCAAATACCTCTTTCGATTTGTTTTCACTTAAATTTTAATGATATGCTTGTATCATTATATCATATTTATATAAGGTTATTATATACATAACTAGTTCTTGAACAACTTAACTGAATTGAGAGTAATAATTAACATCATATATAATACATCATCATATATAAAAAGGATAACATCATATATAAAATCATATTTTAAAAGGACCTATATTCATTTGTGTCCACAATTTAGGTAGATATATTAAGTAGTTTTAGTAGCACTACATAATTTTCAGGTGTATGCCGTTTCTTTGCAATAGATTACCAGAAACACGATTAATTTCTATTCTTTCTAGGAGTCACAAAAGTCCATATTAATTATTATTTTTACATGTATAATAAGATTACCTTGAATTCCCTCAAGATGTACTGAGGCATATTATACTCGGCGATAGGATCGACCACGAAGTACTGATAGCGTACTGAACGGTCAGATGGCCAATACTGATGACATTTCTCCTAAAAATATTACACATATTAAAATAGTTATTAAAAATAGCAATAAAATTTATTAAAATATATGCTTACTCTGCCCATCTCCTTCAATTTGGTTAACATAACAATGATCGTGGAGTTATGTTCCCACAACATTCGCCAGAAGTCGTCGGTGGTATCTGGCAAGGGTCCTTGTGTCGCGATGTAAGCCGCTCGGTACTTGTACCCGTCTACAAACGAAGCGTTGATGTAGTCCGAGCCGTCTCTAGGAGTGAGACACACGCGAGTGGACTCGTAAGGCAAGATGTGCACCAATCTGTTCTTATGTTTATTACACGGCAGGCTAGCTGACACAAAACGACTGGAATCAGCTTTCATGTTGGCAAGCTTCTTAAATTCGAACTCCATCCCGGTTATGTTCTCTATAGTGTCGATACGCATGAGCTTTTGGATGTGTGAGTGCAAGTTACGAGCCGGCACCTCCGTGTCGCCGCAGATAACCGCTTCGAGGAGAGCGTCGTGAATGAAGATGTATTGATCTTCGGTTTGCACCATATAGTTTCGTTGTGCCCGTAAACAGGTTACGTGTCCGTATATGTCTACGGTGCGTTCGTGTCTCGCTCTTTCGAGCATCGAATCGATGACGATGAAGCAGCCCGTCCGGCCGACACCCGCGGAGCAATGTACTACTAGAGGTCCGGCATCGGGTGGGTTGAGAGCACGAACACGACGTAAGAACTGTAAGAAGGGCGCCGGATGGTCTGGCACGCCGTGGTCCGGCCACGCGGTGAACTGTAACTGTTTGATCTCCCTCCTCTCACCACCTCCGTTTCTAGTCACTTGGAATGTTCGGATACAGTAGGTGGCAAGTTCCTGAACCTCTGCTATAGTGACCGTCATCATGCCATACGACTCGCTGCCTCGACTGGGCCAGTATTGATCGCACTTGATCCTCGTCCGCTCCTCCAACTTGGTCATCATCACTATAGTAGACGTCCTCAGTTCCCAGCACATTCGCCAGAAGTCTGTAAACGTTTCTTGTAACGGTCCCTGGGTAGCGACGTATGCGTTGTGTTTACGATATCCGTCACAGTAGTTGGCATTTATGTAATCACTTCCTAGTATTCCGTCTATGGGTTGTAGAATAACTCGGCTATGATCGTATGCGATGACGTTCGCGTAGCGGTTTTTAGGTTTGTTAACGTCCATGTTAGAATGATCCCACGTGAATTGTTGACCGGGTTCAATACTCTCATACTCCTGGGAGAATTTTAGGTTATCGTTGGTTTTTAACCTATCGATGTGTTCTGCGAGTTCGGATATCGGTATTGGAGGATGTGAAATCATAGCTGGCGTTTGGAAATTCAAGCGGCGCATTTCAACTGGGTCAGAGGGTGCTCCGAATCCTATATCAGCGGACATTAAAGGTCTAGTGACGGCAGCTTGGTCGGGTGTCTTACAAGGTTGCCTTCTTCGTTTCACTATGAAAAGCAGAACGAGACATAGCGACAGCATCAAGGCTGCTATTATTGGACCGATCACCCAAACCATTCCAGCCTCGGTCCTATTTTCCTCTATCCGTATCTCGGGGTCCCCATTAATATCTTTGGGGTCAGGTCTACTGGGCTCCTCTCCAGGGGGAGCCTCCCTCATATCTAATGATAAGTACTCAGAGAACGGACTAGACGTATACAAATGTTTTTGTGGAGTATCGACAACTGCTCTTACAAAAACTCTGTATTTCTTATTTAAATTCAATTTTCTATTCAAAAATCCTTCATACATATCATCGTTTCCTAGATGGAACGTGTATAGAATGTTTCTTTGTAAAAACTTTGCTGCTATGTATGGCGCGTTTTCGTCGTCCGTCCGAGCATTATTCTTTATTAAATCATCTGTTAAAAACTGATCTGGATTCTTATGATTATGTGATTTATCATCGGGCACTACAACTAGATAATAATGAGATATCGGTCCGTATTCTTCAGACGCTTGAGGTAGTATAACGAGTATTTCATTTTCAACAACACCGTAAAAATCAGGTTTCACCATTGGTTTGGGGGCAGCCATCTGTGTAGTTACGGTAATTGTCGTCGGCGGCCTATAAGAGTTATCATTAGGTATGGCACTTATGTTTACATTGTACGTAGTGAAAGGCGATAAATCGTTAATCGAGTATGAGGTTCTATCGTGCTTAACAACTATTTCTCTCTTCGGAATTTCTTGTGTTTGCGTCATTCCTAGTGAGTCAACAAATTCTTTGATGGCGTTATAGGAAATCTTATAACTAACTGGATTTAAACGTAATGGAGGGGACCACGATAGTGTCATGGAATGAGTTGATACGTCCTGTGCTCTAAGATGTAAAGGCACTTCTTCGGGTCTTACTTTTACAGTAACCTTTTCAGATAACCTTCCTAGTCCTTCTGCAGTTTTAGCTGCTACTGCGATTGCGTATTCAGCAAACTTCTCCAAGTTCCCCAACTCGGCAGAGTGTGTTACATGAACAGTTTTGTGCTGCCAGTCATCCAAATCCTCGACAGGGGTCATCGTATAGAATATAACATATCCAATTATCTTCTTCCTCGAAGGCACTGGCTCCCACCAGACCTCGACACTTGATTCAGAGGTCGCAACGGCTTTAACTGACATCGGAGCTCTACCGATGTCCCTCTCAGTGTGAGCCGTGACATCTTTACTATAAGGACCCGCACCTTGATCCGTGTAAGCACGAACTTTGAACACGTAATGAGCATCTTCTTCTAATCCGGTAAACACAGCTTTCGTTAACTCCGTCGTCTTTTCAACTAACGAAGACTGATCTCCCCTTTTATAGAATTGGACGTCATATTTTTTTATTTGACCGCTTCTATCGGCTCTTGTTGGTGGATCCCAAGTAATACTAATTACATCTGGTGTTTGGAAATGATACGTGACGTTAGCGGGAGGCCCTTTCGGCGCACCTTCGGGTGTAAGCCAATACTTGATTGTTTCCTGTCCAATTCCTATTTGATTTCTGCCCGCCACTCTGAACTCATACTGCACCCCACGTTCCAAATCGTTAATCCTATGTGAGTTAACCTTTGTTCCAGGAAAGTTAATTTCTTCAAGTAGTTGATCTTTAATACCATATCTAAGTCTATATCCTAGCAGGTCACCGTATGTCTGTGTTGGTTTCGCCCACTCAATCTCGATGGATACAATAGGGTCTCTTTCCAATATTCTAGAACAAAATGTTCGATTAGTTACTTGTATCAATGAGCTCATTGTTGCAATTATTTTATACTCACTTTAAATTAACTGTCGGTCTGTTTGGAACACCGCCGGGTGTTTTGACGGTAACAGGCGGACTTCGATCACCATCACCTTTCCTCGTGAGAGCGGCTACCTGTACACTGTACCGCGTGTCCGGCTGTAGTCCTGATATATTCAACTCGAGTGTCGTATCGTCCATCACATTGAAACGCATTGGATCGTTCAGGAGGCCCTTGCCCTATTAGATTTTTCTTGCATTAATACTATTGTAAAAACCCATTCATATAAGTAATTTTCAAACGAATCTTACCTCTTCTCTTAATTCTTGGACGTGTACATGATACCCTCTTATGATTCCATTCTTTTCTTTTTCTTGTGGCGGCTTCCACGTTACGTGTATGGATGTAGAGTTGATTGCGGTCACTTTAACTTCTTGAGGCTCTCCGGGCACTGTGAGTATACAACGAGATATTAGTCGAAATCTGAGCCGAACTTTTTGCACAGACCTAAATGCCCTATCAGCATCTAAGGGAGCGTGCTAGAAATACTACCTTAAAGCTCAAAGTTTAAGGGTCTAAATTGGAATAAAGCACTGTAGTCTTATCATAAAAGTAAGCGTTGCCAAATGTTTATTAAAAAAATGAACGTCATTAAAGTGCGGTCGGCTTCCCGTCGGTCATGCTGATAGAGTATTTTGGTCGCGACGATGTTCGCCGCTCAGCATCACGATCGGGCATTTGAATACCAACACACACTGACAAAAAAAACTTTTACGCCCTCTCACATCATCATAACCAATTAAAATCCATTACCTTCCAATCCACATCGTTAAGATCAACTAAAATTGTTAAGCGTTACAAGGAGATAAACATTTAGTAAGTCATCTATAATTAGTACAAGTTAGTTTCAAAGCTGCGCTTCTATATCTAAACAATTGTTCGTGTTACATTCTGCAAGGGAAAACACTTAAAACAAAAGGAATAATACACCACATCAATATCAATAAACAGTCGATCAAGAACACGCGTTCATCGTAATATTACCGCTTGCAGTTTGTCTTTTATATTTTTTAGATATTTAGTCTAGGAAGAACGAACTACGTAAGCTTAGGCACAAGCACAACGCACATAAATACAAGCTCTATAGTAATTTATACTCACTCTTTATAGCTGTACGGGTTACCAGCGGCCCATATAAAGTCAGTGACGAGAGAAAAAAGAGAAAAACGCATTCAAATACATTTAAGACAAATTGTGCAAACATTGCAGGGCGAACGGAACTACTAAGTGAGAGATTACGAGTAGAACGCTTGTCGGCAAATAGGGGATATTCTTATTGTACTTCCTCGTGTATTTTGAACTTTTTAGGGAGGCGCATTCGGGTTAAGCCGCTTGGGACTTCGACATCGGTTCACATTCTAGTGCTTTGCCTTTTTCTGCTCACATATAGCGCGGAACAAATGTGAACAAACCTGAATTTATTTATCACGTGGGACATGAATGTCTCGAATACGAATTTCACGATTATACAGATTTTGTTCTGTGCCCGAACTGTAGAATATAAAGGATTATTAGATTTCATTTTGCGAACAGTAAAAGGCTAGGCACATGGTCGACCATAGTATTCCCGATGGCGCCGGTCTTTCACTCACACGCACATGTATTGATTAAGGCGACGGCGCCGGTCTGTGTGTGTGTGCTTCATCAGTGTAGTCTTGTTGTTTCTCTGCCACTTGCTGACATGTGTGTGGTCCTTAAACTCTGTGTTGTTATCCACAGTGATGTTAGTGATGGTGTCAGTGTCTTTGTCCGAAGTCTTATATCTTCAGTGAACTGTTCAGTATAAAATTATACATTAAATATCTTTGGATATATGCCCGGGCTGAAGTTTAGCGTTCCTTTGTTACCGTTCATTCCTCGTATATGGCAGTAGCGTACGTAATGCGGTACAGTATTGTATGTAACAATATATCTAGTGTGCATGCACGACGATAGTTTTATAGAGTATACAGAAGATAGAGGAAAAGAAACGTCTACTGGCGAGAAGTTGTAGCTTTACAGTAGGTGAGATAGATAGAGACAGAGGGAAAGAAGTAGAAATAGCGCGTAGAAGTAATCTAGACCGAGCTGAGCATTGGGATAGTAGGCACAGAGCGTTGCGGAGCCGATCCATTGGATACTCATTTAGAATGATCATATCTTCAGGATCGATGTCAGTTTTATCCGCTGCCTTCCCGCTAAGAGTACAGTGAGACAGTATTGAGTATAGGATAGTTGTGAGTAGTAAGTATAGTAGCATGCGCGCGTGTTGTGTGAGACGGTATTGGTATTCAAATGCGGCGCTCGGGCCGTTGTGCGTGTTAGGACCTAGGACCCTGAGCGATATACTCCATACCATTGCCATGTAAAAGCTGTTATAGTCACCCTCACAAGTGAAGACAAGTTAACTAATTTGATTGTTCCATTGAATTGCATGAGTTCACTTTGAAAACCAAATTGGGAGACGGTAGAGTGTTGCAAAATGTATCTTAATTTCAGTACTATAGGTCTATAACAGCTTGAACATGCCAACGTTATTTGACTGGTCCACAAGGTCATCTCTTGTTATGCCACGCACTCGCTCTCTCACCTTGTGTCGTCGCTAGTGCTGAGTGCTCCTAAAAGTGCTATACTTGTTTCACACAAACGATATCAATAATATAAAGTGCTCCACAAGATAAACCTAACGGGTGCCCAGTGAAATAACCGAACGTAAAAGGTGCTGTGTCGTTAAAGAAAGCATGCAAAATTGTGTATATCGCTAAATACTTAACAACTGTGCGTCAAAATTAATATTATTAACGGTGCCGTCGACACTATATCAGGTGCTATGTAACTTTGCATTTCAGTGAGTGCCATCATAACACGATTGACAGTTAGCGTATCCGTGAGACAATTACAAAGAAATCATTACATGTGACCAGTGAGTGGAAAATATTAGTGTCCTCTGTTAAATACTAATGTGCACAAATAAAATTACTGACGTGATTAACTTTATAAATAATATATAGATTTAAATTCATCGGCAAGCATATTAATACTTGGTTACGAATTAACCTCCTTTTTAGAATCCCGCTATGTGCTTATAAAGAAGGACAAAAGAAAAAAAATACATTAGTAAACTTGATAATAATATCTGTAATATATTGTATACGTAAATGTTAATGATAATATGTTAATGGAACAAGAACATTTTTATTACAAGGTTCCCCGCCACCAATTTAGAATGAACAAACATTTGCATATCAAAGTTATAGCGACGAGCGTGGAAATAATTTAAAACTTATTGATGTGCGAAATTGCTTACAAGTAAATTGATTAACACCCAAAATTATATCCATTCTCGCCGTTCGTCGATACCATTATTACTACAAAATCATCCATATTGAATAAAAAGGTAATAAATTAACTCAATGATAATAGTTCGTATAAATTCGCTATGGATGCCTTCGTAGAATTTATTTCCCCGTCCATAGCCTTAGCAATTCATTAATATGAAAATAAATCGTTATTAATTGTCAATATATTGGAATGTCAGTGGATTAAAACTTCGGATGGTTTAAAATGGTTATCATTATTCAATCCGCTGGCAGTTCCATGGTTATTAATGTGTACCCTCATTATATATAATGTATGAATGTATGAAACGTACCGTCTTCATGCGTGCGTATAGTGACGGGGTAGGAGGGGGGTCCGTCTCCTACGCTGGTGCCGGCCATCACCCAGATGCGGTATTCAGTCCATCTTCTGAGTTCATCTAACACGAAGCTGGTCTGATTCAGCCTCACGACAGTCGCTTCGGAATCCCCTCTCCCCGATTCCACACAAAGCAGCTTGTAATACGCGATTCTTCCGTTGGCCCTTTCAGCCGGCGGCGGCTGCCAGGACACTCGGACCGCGGTCGGAGAGACCGCCGTGGCTGTCACGTTCATCGGAGGTGCTCCAGGAACTGAACAAGCTAATACGTAAACAAAGAACCCACCCAATGACCCAACCCAATGATACCTATCGATGCAATCACTGAATGCTCTGTTAACGACAAAAATGTACCCAAAATATATATATATATACATTCCCATCAAAAAAATGTCGTGCATGCACTGTGTTAATACCGATCGCCCGTACGTCTTTATCGTCCACAATCTAGCCTGTTGAAAGAGAATTGTTTTTATTATGTTCTATGACGACTCGAACAGCATATCGGGTGTTGTTTTAGTTTTGTTTTAGTGTACACATTCTGATGGATATGTTTCTGGAACGTTCGATGTTGTTCGTGTCGTGGTTGTCGAAAAAGTAGAAAACGAACGTCACCCGAGGCAGCGTCCGTCTGATATAAAACATACGAACAACATAAAAGCTACTATTGTCAGTACAGTGGACGCATTCGACTTCGATAAAACGAAAAATATATGTAACCGCTACAACGATGCGTTCACCTTACCGATTACAGACGATTTTACAATTACAAAAACACATATCGTGATATAAAACTTGGTGCTTGTGCTGTATATTACTGGCAGCGTGCCGGGCAGGTGCTTATGTGAAATATATTAATTACCTGTCAAACTTTATTAGTTTTATGGGACTTTATTATTCATAATATTTGAGATGTAAGCGAGAATAACAAAGTCCCAAAGTGGTGCCAACATACCGTATTGTTTGGTTCGGACTCCGATGGCTGGTGTAGTAGCGCCCTCGCCTCGCTGAGACCTTGCGGCTAGCCAGATGTAGTATAAAGTGTTCGGGTATAGTCCGGTCAGTGTGTACGTCTCTGTTATAGGTATCCGTCTGTAGGAAATTAGTTTTTACATCATATGGACACATGAAAATCCGCAAGGAAGATTTTCTTATTTTTCACCTCTATTTTAAGCTACCTCAACAACGAGTTGTATATACGTTAAAGAGAATCAGAATTAGTTTTAAACTTGCGAGTACCACTATCTATAGCTATAATATCGATCGTGAAAATTTAAGACGAAAAGCAATGCCGTATTTTTTTACTCTGAAATTACTGTATGTTTATGTGGCCAGTTTGATCTTCGGTCTTAACACAACTTACTTCCTGTGGTGTTGCTTGGCATACGTATCGTTCCAATATAGTTCGTATGACACTATATTATCACCGGCATGAGCTGGTCTCTTCCATGATAATGTGACTGATGTCTCCCCTGCCTCCACTGCTACCAAGTTTGAAGGTTGGGAAGGAACGCCTGATCGGATGCATTATAAAATATATTATATTCTTAAAGGATCCTTTTATTTATAATCAATTGCCATCTTTTGTGAAAAGAGATTTAAAAGACTAAGTTTTAAGAAGGGAAAAACATGATGGGCAAATTAATTTAAATTCTAATTAAATAAAAAATGGGTTTAAGTGTTAGGACGTAAAGCTTGCAAGATCATTATTGAATGAAAAAGGACCTTTCCAGTGTTGATTATCATATAAATTATCTATTTTTACGTAACAAATTGTGATGCGTATTCTTTCATGATCGTTGAAACTTCTTTTACAGGAAAATTTATACCTAAATCTAAATGAAAAAAGCAATGTAAGTTTATTTTTAAGAGAATATTGATAAATTATTAAGATTAAAAGCTTTTTGTTACGGAACCTAAAAGGTATGTAGTGAGGAATATTTGGTTGTATATAAGATATATTGCTAGCGTTGAATGCCTATTGTGTGTTTATTTAACTATTCCAATTCATTCTCATGTAATATTCTTGGTACATTATTGCTTGAAACATTTATATATTCTGGCATAGTCCAAGTTATTATTATATTGTATGAGACGAACTCATAAAGGTCTCTTATGAGGAAAAACTATCATGTTTATTTTTATGAGACAAATATTATCTTAGATTATAACTATTATTGTATTAAATCCGATTGTTTTTATTACTTTTATTAAATCTAATTAATATACTCTAAGTGTCAAGAACCTATAGTATATAAGAATATTAGCATTTAAATGTAGAATTAAACCGAATCTTGGCAACAATTTCAAGAGAATTAAGCTTAGTTCTATTTATTTCCTTGAGTTCTAAGCATTAGGTCTTTTGAAACCAGCTATTTATTCTCTCGAATAAGTTTTGAATAAAATCCGCGCAACTGCTTAAAGTTTTCGCCTACGTCTGTCTATACGAAGAATTCTGTATGTAGGACTAAAAAGAATAGAATATAGAAGTTTCAACGACCATTTTTAATGTCGATAGTGATATTGGGGAGAAAAAGATGTTTAATAGTGTTGTTCATACCTTGTTGTGTTTTAACCTGTACTGGTGCGGATATAGGTCCCGGGCCTACTGATGTGAAGGCCTGAACTCTTATGGTATACACAGTATGCGGAGTCAGCTCACTGATAGTTGTTAAATGGTTATTGTCCACCTAGTTAGAAATACGGAAAAGCAGTCATAAGTCTCACATTAAAGAGTTTTGTATTAGGTTTAAGAAGCTTTAATCTTTATGTTATTTAATATATCGGTAAATTGCTAGCGTCTATAGATTTATGGTAAATAAAGGAGGATAAATTAAATTGTTTTATAGGTAACACAAAGGAAGATTTGAAGGTCTTAGCGATTTTAATTTTAACGTTATAATTTCATTAGAGTGCTTTTTTCTATCGGAGTGTGTTTATACCCGAGAGATAAAAAATATACTATCTGAAAATTGGATTTACTTAAGTTTCGCATATTATGTAGTTACGAGACTATCCTAAAAGTATCTAATGACTTAAAGGTGTGTCGTAAAATTATAAAGAGTGTAGAATTTTATTGCGTATTCTTTAAAGTTTGCTACCCCATTAAAAAGAGTGAAAAAAGGTGGTGGATATTGTAAATTATATTGAGTTTTTTTTTAAACTGAAATATTTTATTTCCCATAATTAAGTATAAAGCATTTCCTTTTAAAATTTTTAGATAACAGTGATTAATTAGTGAAGAGTATTTTTCAAAGTATCATCTTCCAGTGTTCGGTTCGCCGTTATTAAATAAAAGGAGAACAATAGAAATTACTTGTTTAACTGAATTAAAAGTATTGTTTCAGGAAGTATTAGAGAATATCAGATGTTTCACTTTGAAACGTTGTTATTAATAACATACAACATAATGTTCATTTTATTCTTCCTCATAATCTTGTATTTTATTTCATATTTTAGGTGAGATAATGAAGTTTTAAACAAAACATACATCCAGTGATTTTGATAATGTTCATAAAAAAGTAATTACACACTTGAGCGAAACACCAAAACGTGGGGATTAAAAGATAATTAAAAATCCTTCCGTGTTTTCAAACAACATATCTGAACTGATTCTGGTAACGGTTTTACTTAATTAGATTTTAAAATCAATTATTTTGAAATATTCCAATAAATGTGTACATTTTTTAATATATGTAAAACAATTCTAATATATTTAATCACTTACCATTTGTGAATGCCACGACTGTAATGACTGCGATGAATCGGACGTGTAATATATTTTGTAGCCCTACAAATAAGAAATATATAAAATGAGAGCATATACAATGATCGAAGTACAAAAATATAAATAAGCAAGTACATATTCAGTATTAATTTTACGCAGAATTAAATAGGGATAGAGAGGAAATAATCTTTATATGGTAATACATACTATGTGTTGTTATATATAATCAATATGTTACATAAATATAAAAATAATATAAATAACTAAGTACATATTTACTCGCAATTTTACGCTGTATTATATAGGGATAGAGTGAAATGAATCTTTATATGGTAAAACATATTAATGTACATACAGAATCAATATGTTATCACAAATATAATAATAATAAACGGTTTGTAAAGGATAGAGTTTATTAACTTACCGTGACTTGACCGTTTGGCGTTTCAGGTTCGTCCCATTGTATAACCATTGTACTGGAGCTCAACGGACGCACTTGTACATTACGAGGGGCTGAACCGGGTTCTTAAAACGTTAAAATATAATTAATTACATTCATATCCCATACATATTAAAAAAAATTACATTCTTAATATTCCATACAAATAAAAACCGTTAATTAATTAATCAACGTCGAAACAAAACAATAATACGAGCTAGTTCACTAATTGATATGTAAATATAGATGACGCTATAATAAAACACAACTGATATTCAATATTTGCACGAGCAATCAACAGAATTATTTGAAATTCAACGAGCGACTACGTCATCAATTGTAATACATTGTCGAAATGGAAAAAAATATATATAAAACAATATACAAGCACGCACTGAGATCTGTATCATAATTGAAATGGGACAGAAAAAAATAAAATAAGCGTCACTTCACAGTTGGCACATTTGATACGGAATTTAAAATAGATTCACAGGAATCGTAATAACAATGTTCAAACGGCGGAATATCGAATTAAGTCGGCTCCTTTTCATCTCAATTAAATACGAAAACACAATAACGAGAAACGGGACAATAAACGAACACAAAGATCCTAACATTATACGTAATCGTCGGGGCACGGGACGTCGCTCAAAAGAAAACTCCGATGTTTATGACAATAAAAGTTTGGAGGCGTCGTTATATTAAAAAGCCATAATCTCGTTAAGATCACAAGTCGCTCGCTTACATTTATTTTTTATTAGAAAAATCACAAAAATGTTAACGTTAAAAATATTAATACAATTTTATACGTCCTTAGCGACGTTTTCATTACCACGCGTACATTATGTTTATAACAACAAATTTTACATATTAAAAGTAATAGTATTTGGTTGCATTTATTGGAAAGTATATGCTGTTTTAATAGGTTCAAAGGGTTAGTTTGGTAGGGGCATGCATTTCAATCTGAGAACATGAATTGGGAATCAGAAAGTCAATCATGCGTTAGTACGGAAATATTAGAGAGGCAACCAACTAATGGCCAGTCTGGACTATAGTGTTCGGTTAAAGTGAACGTTATAGGATGTAATGGTAAGATATTCTGAGATAATAATCGTCATTTTATAGTTAGAGCCACAAATAGTCTGTGTAAATCACAGCATTATTATATGAAAATGTGTTAACTTAGCGCGTAAATAATTTTTGATACATAAAAGGTACCATTCATCCAAAGAAATAAAAAATAACACACTGATGCTGCTACGATATTAGAGAGGTTGAACGCTAATGTTACATAAAATATATAATCATTTATATAGAAAAAAATACCATTCAAAATATAATTTCTAAGGCAATAAATTATAAATGTAGTTTATAATTTATCATAGAACATAAAAGATAAGAAACACTTTCATTAAATGAATGAGTTTCGTAATAAAAATATTAATAGCAACGACGCCAGATAAGCCGGAGTCGTAATGAATGTTACCAATTTACTAAACACTACTCAAACTTGTATAACTCATAATTAATTCAATGGTAATAATATAAAAGGGACGCTTTACATAATAAATTTGTGAGAACGGGTTAAGCTTGGACTGGTCATTGCTACGAATTTGCTAATGGATTCTGTAAATCTAGTGTCCATAGAACAAACATGAGGTATTATGTAAATTCGGACAGCACAACTTACACTGTATAATCGATAAGTGATCGAATTATAATGAGCTCCCTGTTAATTTATCGCTACAATGTGGAATACAAGCTACATAGAAGTAAACAATACTTACTGGCGCCTCCATATAAAGAATCCACTGTAAGCACAAAACAAGAAAACCATTAGTATGAAGGATTCATATCGGATAAACATTCACACGGTGCTAGAGCGAAACGGTTAGAAACGTGGAAATTGTAGGTCACATTCAGACAAAGGAATGGTGCATGAATAGAGAAATAATAATGCGAACTACGTCTAAAACCTACTTAAAACAAAGGTATGTGCAAAAGAAATTAACAATAACAAAGGACATCAAAACATAAAATCATCCAGAAGCAAAACTTACACGAAGCGGCGGCGATTTTCGTTTGGTCGCGTTTAATGCGTTCGCATGAAAAGACGATCAAAATAACCTTAGAAATGAATCAGCGTAAAACAAAACCGATTTATAGTAACGTAAGCAATAAAACAATTGTATAGATGACTCTGTTTTAAGCGATAATAGAATTAAATGGAAACAAGCAAATGATTAATGTTATTATGAATTTATTTGTTCATTCATTTATTTATGTTTATATTAGATTTATTTAATCAACACTAGGAAGAAACAGTTTTCATTACAAAAGTTACTTAATAAAATAGAAATTTTCAGTTAATATTTTCATAGATACATTCAAGATAATAAGTAAAAATGTAAATGGATAAAATACATAAACATTATAAATAAAATTTAAAGAACTTGATCATTCGAGACTGAAAGAAAGTACAGTTAGTGTGTAGTTGAAGTAAAAAAAACAAAAAACATATTTGTAAGTTTCTTTCTCTTAGAAAACGTGTGAACTAACAAAGTTGACAACTATTCTGCCGTACAAAATTAAAGAAAAAAAATTAAATAAGTTTAACCGATTCAAACGACTATCATTCAAACAAGTAAGAATATTAAAAAAATTGTATGAGTACATTTTTATGTACGTCCTGTTATAGAACGTTAATTTTATAACAAACTTTAGACGCATAGAAAAATATACGATTGATTAAGTCCTGCTTTATAGACATATGAGCAATGATAAAGATGAATCTTATTAAGTCAAACTTTACAGAATAAGCGGTCACGATAAAGATTTATAAACCAAGCTTTATAGACCAATTAGTTAAGATAACGATAATTCTTATCAAGTCAAGCTTTAAAGACCGATATAGAAAGATAAAGATTTTAAACAGTCAAGCTTCATAGACCAATTCGTATTGATAGAGATGATTTTTATCAAACTATCATTAGTGATGTTAATGATATTAATGTTATATTAGTGATAGTCCTACCTGTTTCTCCCGTAGTAATAACCGCTGGAGTGCTAGGTGGTCCACGGCCTATGTTATTTACCGCTATCACATACATTTCGTATTCAGTGTACGGCGATAGATTCGTCACAGCGTAGAACTGTGTCACAACACCTGATATCTCGCTGAATGCCTAAGAAGAGAGGAGATAGCATCACTTACAAAAGCACTGTCATTGACCACGACTTGACGAGTATAAGGATGTGATAGGTTTGAAATTTATGAGTACACTGTATAGTTTTAGTTACACTAATGGACTTTTATATCGAAATATACATATCGTCGGGGATAGTGCAAAATTATTTAGAGTTTAATTGATTACTAATTGTGTAAAAAATTACTTTTAAAGTTTAGATTTAGAAAATATTTCAGCTTAAGCTTTCTTCTGACAATTTGCATCCAATGCAGATACGCGGAATTATCCAATGCTGGTTACGCGGTTTTGCACTATCCCCGACAATATGTTACAATAAGTATGCAAATTTATCTGTATATTGTTTTAGTATTATTTGTGTGGTACAAACCTGATTAGCGTATTTTGGTTTGTATTGTATGACGTAGTACTGTGGTTCTTCGGGGCCGGTGTAGGTCCACGCGAGTCTTACTGTAGTAGCAGTTATTTCGGATGCTCTCACATCAGCTGGAGGTCCCGGTAGAGCTACAATAATAAATAATTATATTGATGTTGTAAATATAGATTAATTTTGTATAGTAGTTCATCTTAAAACCCAGAGTTAAAACACCTTTAAAGTGGTATGCGATAAAAGTGTTGCGTGACGTAATTTAAATATAATTCGATAGATAGTTAAGTATTTATGTAGAATATGTAATATCTCAAAGGGACGCTATGTATGTAATTTATTTAATTCTAAAAATATCAATAAATTATTTAAAATATGACATACTTTATTTTAATTCTAAGACCGTTATTGCTTCATGAGTTCGTTCTTTATTCTACAATAATATTAAATGATCTTTATACTTTGAGAAACTTCTATTAATTTAAAAGTTTAAATCTTTTATATTATAGTATTACTAGCTGCCAGAACATCAGTATATAACTCAAATAAAAGTAAAATAACAATCGACCAAATATTTTAGTATTTTGTCAAGTAAAACAAACATCTAACATTTTAAATACTTCTAAAGATTATTGTTTCATAACATTTATTTTACAAAAAAATATTTTTATTTCATAATGAAATAAAACTGATTTAGTAATGTGTTGGTCATACTTAAAGCACAAGTTAATATAACTGGTTGTGAATAAGGAAAATTTTTCTTTATGGTCCTATAAATAAAAGTGCAACTAAAAGTCAAGGATTATTTTTAAACACAATAAGACGTTGAAGCTATTGATAACTTGATCTTCAACAAAAATTATTATTGTACCGTGTGATATATTGAATAATTCGTATATTTTCCACAGACGTGTGCGAGTCAAAAACTTATCAAGAAAACAGGTTTCATTTATAAAAGCCATTACTCAGCTCGCTATAATTTCATTTCACATTGTGTCTCATAAGCCCTAAGAAAGCCTCGGTTCATAATTCTTTCTAATGGAATAAAATATCTACTTAGGTAAGACGTCAGAAGCTCACATTTAACTCACAAAATCACGTTTTACTCATGGAATTAGATAAACATAAAGGACTATCTTGTTTATAACACTAGTTACTTCTTACATTTATACGTACATAACAGTCTTTGTCCTCTGATATACATAAATTGTTCAAATAATGTTCTCAAACAGTATAAAATATGGTAGTAGAGTTTTAAGTTAGTATTTAATCCTTAAATTTAGAAGGGCCGTGGTTTCTAGGAATCGGTTGGGGACAATAATTAATCAAGATGACATCCGTTTGTCTCTGGGGTTCAGTAGAAGTTTGGGTATTCAATTATGAATTATATCGAGTCATAATGGATGTTTGCGAATTGCAATTTATCAAATTGATTTCAACGAACCCACGCAGATATTTAGGATCGATACGTATTTTATAACAAGAAAAATTATATACTCTTTCTTTGTATGTTTTTGTAAGACGCTGTATTAACCTGGTAAGAATTGAAGATTAGGTAAAATATCTGATACGTCTTTTTTTGCGGCGTCTGGAAAATAAAACTACCCTCTAAGGGGTGTGCATATTTTTAAAAATGTTTTAGATTGCTTAACGAGGCAGGCTTTCGAAATTTAAATAATAAAATCAGAATCTATTTTCCGCGGTCGACTTAGATCTTTGTTCCTTACTCATTTACGTTAATTTACATTTCAATATTTGTAGAAGAAAAGATTTTTATTTTATTCGCAATAATTTGACTAATTTAAGCGAATAGAATCATCCCAAATCAAATCTCCGATAGAAATATACTTAATATTTTTGTTATTTATTTATAATATAATCTTATTCAATTTACGTATCCAATATTGTATGGACTTATAAAACAAATTAATTAGTGGTTAAGTGGAAATCAATAGCATATTAATAAGTAGGGAGGTCTGAAATATCAATATAATTCTGTAATTTGAAATCATTCTTAATGGAGATTATATGTATAATATTAAAAATACTTTACTTGTAGGATATTCGTAAGTTAAGTTATACATATGTATAAGAATGGTGGCGTTAAGGCCAATCGCAACATTTTCATCTATTAACACTAATTGTACGATCTACGCAAGTTAGAATATAAATTAAGACACGTGACAAAATGTATACTTTTATCAATAAAGTGATTTGTTCTTGCCTTTTCAAACATTTTCACGAAGATCCTTAATCTTGTTACATAATACTGACATTATCCATATCACAGATATTTATTGAAGAACGTGTTATGTTACAACGACTGAAAACAATATTTACAAACTACAAAATGAAATTTGTAAGCTTGTTCACGTGTGTTCAAATAAAAAGATATCCTACGGAGATTACTGGACTGTGGAAAAACATATTTTTTTTGATATCCAATGACACAGGATTTGAATGTCAAAGTGACATTATTTTCTCTGTGCACCACTAACAATGCTGTACAAATAAACGTCCGTCATTTTTATTTCATTCCAAAAAAACTTGTTAAAAACTACCATAACAATGTGCTGCGGATAACTCTATATACTTTTGAGTGTTTTCTTTATTAGATTAATATTTGGTGGCTACTTACATTGTACTTTCACTTCAGCCGTTGTTTCTATAACACCCAAGACGCTGGCTGCCTCGCAAGTGTAATTCGCTGACTCCCTTATGTCTTCTAACTGCAGCGTATTTAGGCCCAATGGAGGATTATCTTCTGGTGTGAGCCATTTTGTCAAACCTATAATGAAAAGTTTTATCATTACACGATTCGTTTATGAGAAATGTCCTTGAACAAATCATTAAAATATACAAACAATTTTTGGTTTAAGAGAAGTATATGTATAGAAACCTGATAAACTAAAAAGTAAACATAAAATGAGGTTTAAGATTTTCGTGAGTTTATTCACTTAAATGAAACTTTATTTTTCGGATATTCTACTTGACTTTATTTTTGTTAAAAAACCACATAGTCCCGACGTTTCTGTTACTTTTCAGCAACCGTGATTACGGACATCTCGTCTGACGGTAATTAGTAAGCATATCTTGTTTATCATTTTGCTAATATTTGATTACTTATTACCTTTTCTCCACTTGACGGTTGGCATCGGTGATCCGAAGGCCACGCACTTGAGCGTGAGGTTCCCTCCCAGCATCACCTCTGTCCTCGGGGGTGGCGGGATAGAGAACTGGGGCGCCACTCGACGAACTGAACAATCGAGTGTTTGATCCATCAAAAACGTCTCGCGCATTCATAACTCTAATGGTATTTGCATGGATTTTATCATAATTTAAAAATACTTTTCTCAATTTTTTTTTGTTCAATGTTAGGTAATACGTACATGTTAATATTCATGTAGATATATTTTCGCTAAACTAATTGTTTGGAAACGGTACGTGGAAGGCGTAAACTCTATAAATCCCAGGACCCCCCACAAAATCTCATTTATATGTCGATGTTAAAGCTGTGACTACAAAGCCTCTAAAATGTATCAACGTTTTACAGTAAACAGTTACATTGTCTGTCTAAACACGTGTACAGTATTTTAACACCTGAATCTCCTGTGCTGGGTTGTAAATTTTGTTATTCTATAGACGTGTTTGGAATAATCGTGCAAAATTCTCTTTGTGTAAACTAGAAAAGTGTGAACACAACTTTATTTTTGAAGCGGTTGACCTCGCCGGTATAATAGTGTTCCATTTTTAACAAACTTCAAATGAAGCTGTTTCTTAATTGAGATGTTCTATTTTTAGTCATGTCGCATGTTTAATGATGGTCGCTAGTTAGTGAAGCCTCCGATATTCCGCTGCATTAAATATGTTTATTATAAATATTCAATATCATTAAAATTAAGCTTCAGGAAACTGTTCAAAAATGCGGACCTAATTACCATTTATTACTTCGTAACCGGTGCACCTAGCCTACTTTGTACACGCCACAATAAGAAAAGATAAAGGTGGAAAAACATTTACTCGCCACCCATTATGTTAATTACAGTCAAGAGCCCTCATTGTGCTGGCGTGCAAACAATTTAAGCACCTAGCAAAATGGAAATAGAACTAAATTGGTTTGCAGATAAACAGGTTTCGTGAAAGCCTTAAAAATGTAGGTATTTTAGAGACCCCGTCCGTGAAACAAAATAGCATGTTAGGTGTTCCTGTTGCGAAGATAATGGAAGTAAGTGAAAGATTTTATTGAGGTCATGGTCAATGGGCCGTATTTTATTTCTTCAGACATTACGTTATTCTAAATAAAACTGTATTTGTGAATAACATCTTATATTTTTATTTTTCTGTTTATATAAAATTGATGTTCCAAGTATGTACGACAAACGCCGTATAAAATAATTAAGCGGAGTTAATGATTTCATCATGAATAAATAATTATTAATTACATTGCATTATTGGTTTTATTATAAATATACAAATAGAATATAATTAAATAATATCTGATGATATTCCGAATAAATATATTATTGTACGGCTGTCAAATATTTATGAGAGTACTTGCTACGAAAAATATAGGATTCAAGGTAGATGGAAGCAAGGGAGCGTAGTGTTTTCATTTTATTAAAATTAGTTCTTTAATTCCATCAAAAATCGCTTCTATATTTACATCATCGTTTTGAGGAAAATTATTCTTTTGTAGGGATGTTCGTGGAGCGTGCCGCTACTTTGTTTTCGCTTTTAATTAAAACGAGTCCAGACGAGAAATGCTCTGAGGTGCCATTTTAAAAGCAGAATAATTAGAGCCGGTACAATTGTTATGTTTTTAAACATTATACTATTTAAACTATGACAAATCATAGACTACGTCAAATAATACATTTTAATTTTAATGAAACAAAAAATAATCTTAAATATACAGTTACAGACATGGGGTATAAATTTTAAATATAGTATATTCATAGATTCTGTAAGAGTACCCTTTACTGAAACTTTCAAATTTTCTAAGTGCCTTTATCCCTATTCTGGGTATTGGCAAACCTTTTAATGTATAACGAATAATTCTAAGTGAAAAACTTAAAAAACTGCAGTACCTTTGAATGATTATAATACTAATGATAAAATTACAGACAGGGTTACTTTTGGTGCACAAACAGTTTTAAATCCTACCGACTTCCCTGGACGAGTATAATATTAGCTTCGTGATATTTCTGGACATAGATCTAGCTTTATTTCATAAAATATTAGAAAATTTCACAGACAATCATAATATATCGTCGATATTGATATCCAAGCGTTTGGAAAACAAATTCTTCACGAAAGATACAATTTCTAGGGTAGGTATAAACGTCGATGTTAAAACTAGAACTCTTTTGAACATTCTCTAGAATAAACTGTGAAGCTTTAAAGACAGATTTGCGTGTTATTAAAACGAGAATTCTTGCTACCTGTTGGGACCGATATAAACTAGGTTTTAGTAGAGTTCAGTTCATATTGATTTTTTTCATTCTATTTTTTTAGTCATAACTTTTCTCATAACATCAAAACCTCCATAAATATTAATGTAAGTAATAAATCGCGCTGACAACTCAATACCTAAAGCTCATTATAAGCAACGGAATCATTTACTCTGTAACAACAATGCCTAAACCCTTTCCCTTTTGTTGCTCTGCTGAAAAAAATTTAATATAAAACATTTTCCCGGAGTTTATTTTTTCCATCTTTATTATCATTTTCTTTCGTTTCATAAATCTGAATATATCTTTTTATATTCGCACGCGTAACGTATCTTATTCATGTTTTAGTAACAATAAGGAGAAAGCTGTTCCCATGCTTTAAATGTTAATATTTGAGCTAACAAATATACGTGGAATTTAGTTAATAGCTTCTATAAACATGTTAATATAAATAAAATATACGTTAAAGATTTGCTGGTGTGTTATATTTCTGTTTTTGAATGTAGATGTGTAAAAATTTATAGTATTTAATTATTTTGAAAATAAATTAAAGTGTGGTAAAGCTTTTGACTTTCGAATTATACGTTTAGTACAAAATGTACATAAGAATTACAAATTTAAAATAAATAAAAATCACAATCAATCATCATACATGATGTTCTATGAGGAGATATAAAGAATAGTCATAAAATAAATAAATAATTACGACTTAGAAATATGAAATATGCATATACAATTTTTGTAAACCGATTTTGTTAATATAAATTTTAGATTCTGCAATAAAAATATTATTTTAACTTAACACAATACCACCCTCTGTGTTAACAGCCACTACTGAAACTGTAATAAATTTATAAGGGCATTTGTTATTGCGGCGATTTAGCGAAGTTGCTCACGTCAAAGCCGGCTTAGAATCTGTGTATTCAGGCCGCAGTTGTCAAACTCGGTAACGTCAATAGCCATCAATAATAACACTGAGCAATGTTTTGGCAACAGACCAAACTGGCTTCCAAGACAAACGAACGTTCACTGTTTACATCAGTCTTTCATTAGAACCGGACCGAGACCTTTCAAACCATTATTGAATATATGAGGACATGTTTAAGGACATCAGACAATTGATATTTTTCTGATAGGTTTAATTATGTTATTGAAAATATCAAATTCCATAGAGAATTTTGTTATGGAAGACATCAAACCATCTTCCTCATAGTTACAAAACAAAAGTATATTATCCTTATATGTATTACAATAATTCTAGAAAATTCAACGTATTTTGCTAGCACATTAAAGGTGTTTTTTGCTTGCTTTATCAAAAACAAAATATTAAAAGCAACGTTTCCGTTATGTTTAATGTACGTCGATGATATGAAAGCGCATATTCAGTTACACAAACGACCGAACTTATCAGTTGATTTAGTTAGGGGCCTGTTCAGTGGAACGCATATACCGTGTCACTCGTCAGCAGAACAAAACCATCGAGGCAATGAACAATTAAGTCGGAATCGCTCCGTCCGGGTGTTAATGTTGCTTAAAAACATCGAAAAATATTGTCTCGTTGAAAGCAAAACAATAAAAAGGTAAGGACAAAGACGAAGGACTTGCAAAATACTCAACGGAAAATCCTCTTACAGCAAATATTAAGCTTTCTTATGGGCTTTCAGAATTACCTGTTGACTAGCCGTTTTCTAATTTAAATATTATTTCTGTGAAATGGGGACTCACAGGATGTTATTATTTCTTGAAAAGAGGAAAGAACAACTCATTAAAATAAGAAAAAATATAAATGCAATTATATATGGAACTTCGTACTAAATGAAAAAATAATTTCATCCTAACCGTTTGTTATAAGTGAAATAATCCACTAAGTAATATTGTTTTCCTTAACATTATGACAATTAACATTTGATTTAATTTTCAAACTACATATGTATTTAAGTCCTTTAATTTGACAATCATTATAGAACTGAAGTAATAAAACTAGTCACACACTTAAAAAAATAGAATTACTTGTGTGTGAGTTATTCTATTTATAAAACATATAAATAAAATTTACGTATAAGTTAGTATATTAAAAGTCAAAACATATAAACGAAGCCAGTCCACGTATCTGTCGTCCTCAATCACGACTATCTGAAGCGAGATAGTTAACGTAGGCGCTATCTCGTGTTAATATATTGCGAAATTCTCACCGCAGCCTACTTTCTGTCCGATAATAAAGCGCTGCAGCGAAATAACGACACCCATATGTAATTTTGAACAGCGCTGTTTCGCTAACACATGAGTGTTGTGGCCAACTGCGTGACCCTGTTACGGATTATGCAGACTAAGGATTATATATTTTAAACTATTATTTATAGTGTGATGATATATTATATGTAATTATAAGCTAAATCTATTATGTGTAATTAGTGTCGGATACAAATTAAGTAGTTTAAATTACAGCGAAACTATTATTATAGGTTTGGAGATTATTAGATACAGTTACTAATTGAAGACTGTTAGTGGTCAGATATGATGTATATTATAATGATTATCTCACCTTTAACGTACAAGGAGGTCGGTTTGGAGAACTCAGTCCCAATGGCATTTTCGGCGACACATTCAAACTTGCCCTGATCCTCTTCCTCGCTCTTGACTATTTGTAGAGTACCTGAAAAATAACAAAACGTAGTAAAATAATGAGATACAAGATTTTCGCGAGTATTCATTTATGTGAAGTAAAATATTCTTACAATGTCGTATATTAAAACAGATAAAGTTTTAGTTTATTGTCATAACTAAAGTTTTAAATTCTATACAAAATATAATAATAGATTACAATTTAAAATTTTCATTACTATCAAGATGTGAATAACTTGTAACTGTGACGAATTTAATTAGTTGTTTTAAAAAGGGAAGTAAATTTTCGCGGCTGCACTTCAACAAGGAAATTCACGAATTCATTATTACATGGACTTTTGATAACTTTTCAGTTACCTTGATTACGGACAAACGAAATGAGAGTTTCGGCTTAAAGATAAGTACAAAAAATCGCGAAGAAAATCCTAAAAGCTATTATTTTTTAATGATTTTTTTTATTGTAAGAAATTTTTAAATAGTTATAATTCGAACCTATGTGCATTAAATATTATTATGAAATTACTTCAATATATCGATTACATTAAAAATTCAACTTATCGTAGTGATCAAAGAGAAAATAAAATGTACATAACCATTTTTCATGATCGTGTATCGTATATTAATCGTAACCAGTACTCGATATGGTTTTTATTCGAATATATTTATGTGATATTTTTGCATCATAAATAATAATCACATTTGTGTTATAAAATGTATGAATTTATTGATATGGATATCAGATGTCGTGTAATTAATGTAACAGTTTATTCTCATAGTCTAGGTAATTTTACTACAGTGTGGTAATATTGTATTTAAATTCTATAATTTATTTGTTTTAAGAATATTGGACTTAGAAAAATTCAGCAAAAATTATGAGTTTATTTCCTTCATTAGAGAAATAATAATAAAGTTGTGTATTTTAAATACGCAAAGATAATTTTTATGATCTTAAATTCGTGCAAAGAAAAAAGTAAATTAAATTACGAATTTGACGTTGTAAAGTCATCGATCATCTGGTTGATTTAAAAGAAGTGTTTTTAAATTCAAAAAGTTAAACGACAATGGTCAATATCAAAGCAAAACAAATCAATAAATGGTCAATATCAAATGCAAATATTAAAAAAAAAGTATCCAGTGTGTTCACATTTCTATTTTTTATACTAATTTAGATTATTGTGTTGGTTTAATTATTTTTATTTCATATCATAGGTAACCTTCATATATTAGAACAGGCGAAAGTACTGGGAAAGTGATTCAGTAAATGTCCTGATATACTAACTTTCTTTATCAATTCCCAAAGCTAGGTCCCATTTAAATTGAATAAATGTTTGTAACACGTAAAGTGAGTATTCTATTTGGCATTCATCGAATAACCCTCCATCCAGTACAACTTGAGGACTGTCAAAGAGGAATTGAAACAATGTTACTACAAGACAGTGGACAAAACAATACAGTTCTTCCACCTAGAATCAATTTACAAAAGAATATACTTTAGAAACAGTATAAAAATGTTACTGCCACCAACTACTAGATGGCACTAGTAGTTGTTTAATGTTTATATCGCGGTATCAATTTGTTTTTCCGATAAGGACGCATATTAAGGCGTTTTTGCTTCTACGCATTACGCATAGGTATCTTAGAAATTCAATATTTTTTAGAGTCGGACACTTACATACATAAGTGTGACCACTAGTATGTTATAATAAAAATCTTCTTTTGTTTAGATATATAAGGACTTTTAACAAGGAATAATACATTATATGATTAAACACTAAAAATGCAACTTTCTCTACATATGTATAATCAATTGACATTCTTCTATAAACAAAGCTTACAAGTTACATTTGTATAAGGCATATTGAACCTTATCCTTAACTTGTAAAGTAAACTTTAAATTAAATTAGTGTTTGTAACACGTATAGCGAACATTCTATTTAGTATTCGTTTATCGATGCTGGGTACGTGAGAGCAGAAGTTGAACAAGTCGTAAACAACGACGCGGGCACACATACATTAATATTTATAGGGAAAATTCTAACTATAACTAAAGTTCAACTAACAAATTATACTAGATAAAATAATCGAGCATAATTAATTGATTCTATATTCCAATAGTAGAAAAGAAATGTCTTTGTTTGAAATTTTGTGATAATACACACCGATAACTTAATCTCTACTAATATTATAAAGCTGAAGAGTTTGTTTGTTTGTTTGAAAGCGCTAATCTCTGAAACTACTGGTTCGAATTGAATAATTCTTTTTGTGTTGGATAGTCCAGTTACCGAGGAAGGCTGTGGGCTATATAACATCACGCTACGACCAATAGGAGCAAAGATATAGTGGTAAATGTGTAAAAAACGGGAGAAATTATTTCATCTTTGAAGCCTTCCGTTGCGTGCGCCGTGAAAACGGTTCAAGATACACAAAAAATATGTATTAAAGAATAATAGCTCTTTTAATGATTTAAAAAACAGTCGGCGACAGTATATGTCTATCTTTTAAGATTAACTCACAAAAACCATTTTTATGGTACCTAATTTTGTCGAAATAATTTTTTTAAGTTGTATCAACATAATAATATTAATCTTTATTCACATAAACAAATAAATATGTTGTTGGTTAAGAGTACTTCATTATTAATAAAAAAAAAACATAGGTTTTATCCTGAAAATTCTACGGGAACTCGACCATTCCGAAAACCCCGCAAGAACGGGAACTATGTGGGAAAAACCAAAAATCTGTCGGAAGTCACTATTCCACGCGGACGAAGCCGCGGCAAAAGCTAGTGTTATAATATGTAGTGTCACTAATAGAAATGTAAGATTTATATCGAACAATTTACGTATTTATAATAAATTATACATAAAAGAAACATCTTCGTGCCTTGCTAAATATAAAGTTTGACTATTTAATGTCAAGTTCATTCATTCGAACAAAATTTTAAATAAGGATACCAATTTTTCCATCACGTATTAATGTGGAAATTTTCAAAGAAAACTGGAACAGTGAGTTGTGTCATTCAAAATCAAATTAAGGTCGCAACAGTGATCTAGGAATCTAAGTATAATTTAGAATTAAGGTAGCGATGTAAGCAGTCCCTGGTACAGATATATATCACACATGATATCTTGATAATAATGTTACATTATGGGTATTCTGTTATGGGTTTATACATTAATTTGTGCTTCATGATGGTAGTTAATAATAAGGAATATATTAAATTGACAGGATTATAATAATTTGGAATTAATATTAACTGACATGATATTTGTATGATAAACACAATTTAAAACTATATTTGATTCATCAGTTCGGAAAATACTAACCTAATGGTATAGGAACTAGTTTTTGAAAGTATTTTAGAACTTGAAGAGCAAAGCTTTGTTTATTTTTAAATGTCAACATCATTTCATATTTTCAGTAAGGTAAAAAAAAAAATTACATACATACATCTGAAAATAAATGAACTATTTTTATATGGAGATGATATAAAAGTTCTTTCATTCTGTGACATTCAGAGACAAATATTTGTGTGATGAATACATCATAGAGAAACAGAAAACCAGGGACGTGAATATTAGTTTGATCATTAATATAAGTTAGTTAATAATTACAATAAATGCTCGTACATAGTTTATCTTGACGGATGACGTTCCGACGTAGGGGCTTCATAAATCAACACACACAACAATCAGTCACATCGTTCATTACAAGTTAGTTGGTCATAAGTGTCCTTCGTTGGATCATTGTAACCACTTAATCAACTGACTTGGCGTAAACTAAACCTTACCTCCCTAACCGACCTAAGAGCTAGATTAAACGCGGAGCTGTGATAAAGCATCTTTAACCACACAAATCTGACCCCCAAGACGTACTCAGCTGGGTATTATAGCGACTGGCCGTGTTTACATTGCGGATCAAGACTAACTGGTTGTGTATAATACCGCTACGAGCCGGCCATTCCGTTGGACGTTTATGAATAGCGCTTATTTTTCTTTTAATTACGCCGCCACCGCTGTCTGTGGGAGCATTCCGTTGACACGGCCTCGGCATAAAACACTTTCATGATGATATATTCACTAATACAGAACGTACACATTCATTAATTTAACACGTACAGGAACCAAACAAAGAGAACGTCACAAAATAACCATGGTCACACTAATGCTTACGAAAATATTTTGTACTATAACACAAACATGCACCGTGTTTTAATTAAACTTCAACATTTTGGCCATAAAGAAGAAAACATATCTTACTTTGCTGTTTTAAATAGAAGAAATATAATAAGAGATGAAAATATTCTTAAACCAATTAACATTTTAATCACAACAAAGCAGGGATCCTTGAGAGTATATAAATCGTGTCGGTTCAAATGTCAGAACACACTTCATAATATTAATCAGTCATACCAGTCAACAATGTATAGTATATAAGTGTGTACAACAAACAGAGAACATACTATATTATATACATGTCGTATGCTATGATGTAGACAACTTAATTAAATAGCATACAACATTGCAAATATATGGCTAACGTTTTGTATTGCGTTCGAGTTGTGTACACTTATGCTCTATATAATTACGTGTCCCACATAAACTAACATATGATATTACAAAATACAGTACATATATAGATATATGTTTGTAAGTGATTAAATTTTGATATTACGATGTACTGAGATGTTCATTAAATACTAAATATTAGAGTGGATAGTACATAGCTGCTACTAAATTCTTATGTCTTCTTTGTAAGGAATAAAATTAAAAACAAATAAAAATGTTTGCGTTAAAACGTCCACCTACTTAAAGATCATCTTCAAACATATATAAACTGTGTGTATGATCGACATTTGTTTATTTTTTAATTGTAATAAAGTCACGACTTTAGTAATGTACCTATAAACGTGTCAAAGGAACCGATGTTGTGACAGTATTGACTCTCCTGGATACGTTCAAACAAAGAGGAACTGCCAATCTAAACAAATGAGGATCCGAATGACTTGCTGCCCTCATCAACATTACGTCACTATATAATACTGCTTTTTTTGGAAGTATTCTTACATAAAATTAAGATAAATAGCGTTTTCTTTACATTCATTGTTTCCTTGATATTGTTTCACTTGTCATGTATGAATATTTAAACAGCAGGTAGTATTTCATCTCAACTTAATATAGAATAGGTGTTACAAAAATATGCGAAACGTCTGTCCGCGCAAGATTTATAACTATCAATTCAGAAGGGATGATAAATTGAAAAGTAATTCGAGAATTATATCCATTCGAACAAAAGAACAAAGAATAGTTAGCATAGATAGGTGTTATGAAAGTTGTAGAAGATAATTTCATTTCTTTACTATTTGTTCACATTTTCTTTACTAAAAATGAAAAAAAAAAATATTTCTCTTTCAAATAAAAAAAAACACTTCTAGAAATTAAAATCGAAGTACACTGCAAACAGAAAGACCTTAGGAAATTCGCTACAACCGCAGCGACGTTAAATAATTCGAAGAGGCCAACAGGAACGTTTGTGAATTTGACAAATTGCGAAACAGTGGAAGCTATTTTAGCATTAACGATAAATAAAATACAGGCTATAATGGCGCGCTTTTATTTTAGTTTTCTACATCCGGCGTCTTAGTGTAATCCCCGGGTCCCTACACGTAGACGTCACTCTTTTATTTGATTACCGGGAAAGCCTCGGGGCCTTGCGATTTCGTCCCTGACATGTTTGCGATTATGGTGCTCATTTTTTCCGCAGGAAACTGTCATCTGTCTTTGCCAAGGATCTTAGGTCGGCTGAATGTCTGAACACAGGCTAGCATAGCCTTATCTGTAAGCAGTGATTCTACTTTTACAGTTATTTTATTTTACTTGTACGTAGCCTTTAAGTGAAAAAAAGTATTATTTTTATCATTACAATTTACAGAACTTAAAACTATTATCTTTTTACTATTACGTCGTTAACTAATAGTAACTTTATATGAACAAAATTAAAGAGAGACGTATAAAAAGCTCGTGGAAGCGACACGGGGCGTGGCTGGTTCAGAACATACGACCTCAATCAAGACGAAGACCGCCCAGCAGTGTTATTGTTGCTGGAATTAAGACCCGCTTTTTGTTAGAACAACAGACGACCATACCGTCTCATTGAGACTCGGGACCGGCATTTGTATGCAAATGAATCGTAATCTCGCCCCGTAGGCCGCAATCACGTCTATATCTACCTAGACGGAAGGATTCAACAAGATTTGATAACGCTCAAATATTTACTACCAATTCCTACCATGTATAACAAGATGTATCAATCGATAGAACAAAATTATATGTATTAAAAAATTCTTGTAGAAAGAAATTAAATACCATATCCAAACATTAGTCATCCGTGTCGTATCTGTCCAAGTTAAGTATTTAATAAAGCGGACATCGTAAACCCTATCTTTGTTGCGTATAATTTATAAGCTTAATAAGAGACGGTCAAATAACAATTCTCTATAAAAGTCATACCTTAGTTGGGATTAATTCGGGTCGTTACGTTAATAATTTAATGGACCAAAACAAAGAAAGCTGTTAGATCCTTCCATTCATCATGATATAATATAATCGTATTTGATACATTTTAATATTTATCGCAACATGATACCATAAAGACACATCTGTAATTCCATTTAGCAAGATGTTATTCATTAATATATAAGTATAATAAATTATTATAGTAGGAGAGACGCTCGATTGATACGAAACGCGACTGAACCATCAATCCTTGTAATTCGACAATCCAAAGTTTTACGTTTATAATTTACTTTATCATTGGCACAAATTCGTCTCGTCGGATGATCCGAAACGACAACAGACGTTCAGTTCAAAATGCTCACGATCCCCTCCATTTAATACAAGTCATTAATATACCTTATAAAATATTGGACCGCGAAATAATCCTCTCGAATAAATTAAAATAATGAGATTAAAGCTCAAGGAAGTCTTGTTCTAACTGAATTTAAATTAGTTCTACCTCTTCTAGGGTGCATAATAATATTAAAATTAAATTTATTAACGTTCATAATACGCTCGGATGAATTTTTGGCTTTCGCGTGAAGCTACTTAAGTAAATTGATGGTTTGGTTTAGCATTTTAAAAATATATGAAAGTATTCGAGCACGGCACGAGCCGGCTCTCGTAACATATATGTAGTAAAAGTATTAAGATACAAACGATAACTGACTAGCAAAATAAAGCATAAGATTCAATGTAATTCAGGAAGTATTTAAAGACAGAAAACTAAAATAAGCCATAAATAACACATCTAACAGAAGAAATTATCGAAGGCATTATAAATATTAAATAACTTTTATATAATTTAATAACAATAATAAATTAACCATAATATTTTTTCACTCCGACTAAAAGCTAATTAATTAAAGGCGTTCATCAAAGAGGGTAAAAAAAATCAAATTTAATAAGGAAAATTTTTGTGACGTTTAATTCATGTAACTAGGTTGTAAGGTGTCATATTTCTGTGTCATAATTAATTTTATTGTTGCTATGATCGCTTTTGTTCTTAATTAAAACATTTTTATTTTGTTTTTTATTATAATTAAAATTGCTAAACTGTAATGACATTCTTATGGTTGCGGTGAAAAAATAAGTGTTCCTTAAATATCAATGTCGTTCATAATTACGAGAGAAGAATTGAAAATAGTATTAGTTTTCTAATAAGAGGAAAGGGATAAACTTACCGTGCATTTTATCATTCAATAGCGCGTATCTGGGATTGGAGGCTACATCCAGTGGGAGAGAATTCCATAGCCATCTCACTCGCGGTGATGGGCTGCCGTTAGCCTGACACGGCAAGGTGGCCGTGTGACCGACTTCTACTACCATGGTTGTAGGGGGTGGCGTGATACTAGGAAACCCTGGTGGCACCTTGTCAGCTGCAACAAAAAATATATCATTGTTTTATCATTATCATATCATCACATACATTCACGCGATATAATATATTAAACCGCAATGTAAATAAAAATACAATTGATAATCAAAATTATTCCAATCAACGAAACATAACAAGGGAACGGAAACAGATTCAGTCCCGCCGAGTTTTGAACATTGTCCGGAAATATCTTGCGAAATCTTAAAACGCCAGTAAAATGTGAGATAGTGAAATGTTAATTCCCAGAATGAAATTTCATGCTCGAGTCCCGACCGAACTTAACGAAATTTGATTAAGTAACAAAACTGACGTTATTCCTTGTTGCGAGTAAGTATTGTGCGGGGGATTGTGAATATAGAATGATGTTTATAAAACATGAAGTGGCTGTTACCTTAAAACTTTAATCAATTTACGTAAACTATGAAAAAAATAAAAAGAGATATAGTTATTTTTATATACATAATGATAACAAATTATATGTTTTAAGTGTTAGAACGTGTTACTTCATTAGCTAAATGCCACAGTCTGAATTTAAAAAAATGTATGTATAATCAAAACACAATTACATCCATAGTAAATAGCAGGTTACCATGCAGTACATTTTTATTATATTAATAAAATTAATTATAATTGCTTATAACAATACATCTTCGGTTTTTGTTAACAAACAGGGCAATTTGATCTCCCATATATATATTATTACTCCAAACATAAAAGCATAATACCTAATCGACTTAAACATACAAGAATATTTAACATAAATAATAACAGACCTTAATGTATTACAATGTGGTCTATATTCCAATGTTGTAAGCATTTTAATTGGGTAATAACACATGTAGGTTTCATTGTAGACTATTGTTGGGCTCAATGGCTATCGTAAACATAAGCACGAGTGCAGACTGTACCAATTAAATTAAGATATTATGAATGAGTTTCTTCTACAATTATGATTCAGTCTTACAATATATTCAAGAAAAGCATCTTGTATTACCACATGCATAGTTAAGAAAGAGTATAAAAAAATTAAAATCTTGTACAAAATAATATATAATAATCTCTTAAGAGAATTATAAAACGAATTATATATAATTAATATATTTAAATATAATTATTTATGTCTATGCCTTACTGTTTGTTAGTGGGACGTGCTGACTACTAGTGACTTGTAGTGTATTAGCATGAAACTAGATTAACCTACCAATCTGTATCGGATGTCATTGAGATTGTGAAAATGATAAGTGTCCTGTTTGTGATCTTCAAACAGATTTTTTTCTCTCAAACTATATTTGTCACGTAGAGAAATCGTGAAGTAGGTATTGTACATATATTTATTTTTAATAAAATTTTTTTTTGTCTGTAATGAAAACAAAACGTATGTATTAAAGTTGATAGATATTATTTATTTTAATATAAAACTGAAATTAATATTAAATCAGTTAAAGTTCATTGCATTTATAACTGATAATTTTTATGTCATATGTACCATAAACATCACCTCCCATGCCTTTAGTATTAAACGAATATTAGTAAAGTTATTAGATTATTAAGTTTAAAGAGATTGTATTATATTTAATTAAAACATATTTTTTGTCAATATATTTTGCTACAATGGTCCAAAACAACGACGGCAACAATTTATATGTCCAAACATATTTTTTCAGAGAATCAATAATTAAAGCGTTGAAAATTAATAAATTAGTTTTTCAATTTAATATAAAACAATAACAAGGAAAATTGCATCGCCTGTTATATATAGGTCTAAAAGCCTTTTACTTCATAAAAAATATATAATATTAAAATTCTTTCATAATAATTTATTTAACAATATGACGTCATCCCCGTCACGTCAAGTCAGCTCGTCTGTTGATAACAAACTTTTATGATGATAATTAAATTTATTATTTCGGCTACGGTTCACTTTATATTTTTATAAATATAATAAAAAGTATTCAATGGTAAAGTTTAATAGAATAAATTGTTTTATGGAGGTCACAATACTTAATGTTTATAATCAGAAGTATAAAAGGGAGATATTATAATTATTATCCTAATTATTGTACGTAATATTAGAGACCAACTGTAATTATTGACGTCTGATATGAAGCATTTTCTAGAAGCTTCTTGAAAAACTAAACAAGAACATCCTTTACTTCATATAAGTTAAAATACACTGCTTTCCTCGCAATATCAATTACTGAAGGATAATTGGATACTTTCTCCTCTTGATTTCAGAGTGCTTTAACAAGATTACGAGCTTTTTATAGTGTACTATCTTATCAAGCTTTAAAAGAATTTCGAGATCCAGAGGAAATTCAACGAAAATGATGATGGAATCCCTTATATATCTAATTCGGTTCATACATTTATACTCTAAGCATATTTTCCATAATGTATTTCGGAATAGCAAGTGTCCTATGAAGTGAACTAACTACATTTCGTTCAAGACGATCACGTCGCCGGGACGGTCCGTCTCAATGCGACCATACATTAATTTATATGGGCAGTTAATGTAATGACTGCTTCAATAAATTACAATTTGCGGTGAGTCTGGGTGCAGGCTGCGTAATTAATATCAAGTTGATGTAAAATTTATCACCATCACATCACAATTTATGATAATAAACCTTATTACCTAATAATAAAGCTGATATTTTATTTTACTCTAATATACGGAATCTATTTATCGTCTGAATAATTTTGAACCCCATTTACACAGGCTTAAAGTACATATTGAATGCGTTCCTTCCCTAGAGCTTTTTAAATGTTGAAACTGGGACTAGTGAATTTTATCGCGATGGCTGGATCATATAATTTTTCTTTGTATTTTATACGTCAGAAATATTAATGTATTGGACTATCATGATGGATACGTATGAGAAACAATACAAAATCCCCGAGGATATTTGTGCGTCGGCCTCCAGACCAGACATATTTCTATATTCGCGTATTTTAAAGCGCGTTGTCATGATAGAGCTTACGGTGCCTTGGGAAACCAACATCCCCAAAGACCATGCCATCAAGGTCAATAAGTATTACGAGCTCACTAACGAACTAACTCGAAATAGGTTCGTCGTTGATTTGTACGCGGTAGAGGTGGGAGCGAGAGGTATAACAGCTAAATCTCTCTATAACCTACTAAAAGACTTGGGCCTGTCCAGAACTAACATTAATTCATTCTTAGAACGTACGTCGAAGGCAGCCCTAGTAGGTTCTTTTCAAATTTGGTTAGGTAGGGAGAGGAACTTGGACAGTGGAGGTGAGCGTATAACGCGCGTTAGTTAAGGGGCCCCTTAAACCTACACCTGGGTCGCAAGTCCCAGGCACTGTTGAAGCTCCTCTCCCTGCAACGCGATGGACCCGGCACCCGCACGGTGAATCCATCGAATGCTAAGAGGTTTCTTCTCATGGATTTCTAATTTAGACCCGTGTTTGGGAAACTTAACGATTCTGTTATCCCAAAACTTTTCATACGGATAGCCATTTGTTTTGTATTGAGGTTATACTAAGTTACGAAGAATTCTTAAGTTATATTACTGTTGGGTACCATTAATATTTATTATAATTTGACAAACTGATAGAATTTTATTAAGTAGATTTTTCTTTTGTAAATTCACTGTTAGTTAAACGTGTTGTTTAAGTAAGAATAATACTGTATTTCCATTAGAAAGCGAATAGAAGGGCCGAAACGTTGAATAGGGTTGGAGGTAGCGCCAGTTTACTGAATAAGACGTCTGAACAATACGATCCTGGCGTTATCTTAACGACGGATACTTACATTATGTTGTTATCAATGAACAATTTACATAGCAAAGTAACTGACGATAGGCTTTCTAGTCTTGACCGCCTGTAAAAACACACCGTTATAATTAATTCGGTCAATGCGTATGTATTATATATTTTCATGACGTAAAATGTTTAACCATGCAACTCTCGCGTTTTATGTTTACCAGAATACATGAAAGATTCATTTTATTCATGAATATATCAAAAGGTTTAAAAATGTTAAGCAAAATAAAGCTCGATATGGTTTTTTATGTCGTTACTTGCTTTTGTTGTTAAAGATAAAAGAAAACCCACTATGTGAATACTTGATTTACATTGAAGTATTCTTTTAAAGGACATTGGGTGTCATATGATTAGAGGGTCAACAAAAATTCGATACTAGAAGACGATATCCATTGTTATAACAAAATTATATGAATTAAGTATCAATTAGTTCAAAGGAAAATATATTTTAAATATATATGTTAAGTGGGGTAAATAAAATTGTTCAAAATTTATTAGCCTAATAAAATAAAGGGTAGGAATAAATTAAAGCTTTAACAAAACAAGTTCAATATAATAAACAGTTATTTCGTGGAGACGTAATACTAAGAATTAATAAAATGTGTGGTATAGTTTTTAGGCACATTATAATTATATTGTTTCTACACTTTTCATGTTAATTTTTTTGAGTGATGTAATATAAAAGCAAACAATAATGACAAAACTGATATTTGTTACAATTATATCGTAGACTTTCGCGAGTATTCATTTAAATGATACTAATATTTTTCGGATTTGATACCGAAACTGTGATCACGGTTGCTGAAAAGTAACCGAAACGTCGGGAGTATGTATGTAGTTTAAAAAAATAAATACGCGTAGTATAATCCGAAAAAATATTAGTATCATTTCACTGATAATAGTTATATTTATGTAATGTCAAACTGTGTTTTTTTTCTCCATCTCATGTGAGCGATGTCTTTGATTCTTTACTAAGGAAAGTTCGAATCCATTGAAGAAAAAGGAACCCAATTTAATATCGTTACATACGTAGCGTGGGTTTGTTGTAATATACATTGAGGCAGAAAAGGGAAACGGCCATTTGATATTTCTTTCCAAATGATAGATAAAATGTCAAGGTCGCATTCACTGAGCTGTGTAACGAGCTACAAAATACAAAGTTACTCTTTAACATTTAATATTTTCATCTCGTTTCATGTAACCCATACAGTT